GACAATACTTTTTAGCTAATTAGAACATTAAAGTGTTGAAATAAAGATAATTACACTAAATGAATTCTTATTCTTATTATCTAAATAGATTTCACTGTTTGACAAATAATTCTAATCAGAATAATGATAAACAGTGATAAAATAACAGTTTATAAATACAGGGTGTGGTAGTAATACCTCCCACGTAATGGTAAGAAATTAGTGGCAATGGTGCCTTCAGCTAGCTAATGTCTTACCATTATGTGGGAGGTATTTCTGCTACACCCTGTATGTCAACTACTCAACCATCTCCAATATTTATTAGAAATGTACATCTTTGTCTCTTCCATTTTTAATACACAGCTATGTACAAAATAAATTTGACTGGAGAAAATTAGGTAACAAAAATGATGTAATTATCATGACCTTGTGCCAGATTATTATTATTATTATTATATATATATATATATATATATATATAAACAAAGCACTGAACATTTTTTATAATTATTGCTGAAATTATGCTTCTAATAAGCTGAAAGTCTTTTTCAAGTTTAATAACAATGTCCATTTTAAAAGGTCCATTTGCTCATAAATTAATTTTTTTTTTTCAAGCTGTTATAAAAAGAAAAAGAAAAAGAAAGAAAAAATAAACTAAGTCTCTGTAGATCTGGTGAAAGTTTCAAGAAATTTGGTAACTCAAATTTTGAATTCTTGCCAAATAAGAAGATATTCAGAATCAATAAAAATAAAAACTGTTCAATAACTTTTTGTATTTTCTGTGTAATAAAACTTATATCTGTTATATTTTTTTTAGAAAAATAGATTTAACTTGGTTGACCATGCCACAACAAAGTGCCATCTCCTTGATAAAGCACTTAAAATATTGATTTCAGAATTAGTCAATTTGTTTTAAACATTTGAAAAATTTATAAACTTCCATTGCTGATTTCATACAAGTAGAAACAAATGAATGCCAATTTGACATGTTTATTTCAAATTAATATTTTGATAAATAAAAAAATAGGGCATTTGTTTGGGTTCAATTTATTTATGGACACACACACACAGAAATTGGCAGATGAAAATAAACATATATTCAACCAGCAACAAAAGATCAAATGTATATGGACTGGTGATATAGAATGACAAAGAACTGTACCAAATAACAGAAACTACATCACTTGACAACTACTAACAGTGACAATAACTAAAATGGATAGCACATTTGACTTGAAAATGAAGATGTTGACATTCTACACTACTTCAAGCAAAAAGGTTAGGAAAAAAATACCCATCAATAAGGGAAAGAGTGATAACGGCTACTGGACTTGATAAACTTATTTTCCTGTAAAACTGTTTTAAGAAAAAGTTTTTATAAATTTCAATCAAAAACAGTACTGGCTGCTCAATCAATGGATACCAAATGTTTTCTTATAGGGAAACAGGTAATATTACCAGCACTATAGACAAATATCTACCGAGTATAAAGTAAGTGTAGTGTCTAGTACCTAAACAGGGACATGGTCAGAGACACCTAAGTAATAATTGCCTGCAACATATTATTGCTAATCACTATTCCATATATATATATATATATATATATATATATATATATATATATATATATATACACACACAGAGTATAATTAGGCAGTAATCTTTTGTTTAAACATTAAATACAACAGACTGAGAATGTCTTCTGAGCCTTTTGGTAAGTTTCTCCTCACGTTTAATGTCAAATATAAATTGTTGTGTGTTTTACTATTTGAATCAGTATCTTCATCTCTGTAGTTATAGTCACATTTCAACTATTGTACCCTCCTTGCCATCTTCAGATATCCAACATCATACTTAGCAACCTTTCTGGAATCCCAAACTAAACCCTTTATTCAATCAACAGGGTAGATTATTCTCATTTGGCTTTCCATGCTTAGGGGAGATAACTCATCTTATTCACCTTTTTGTAACTTGTCTGTTTCTTCCACTGAGAGTTACTTTTCACCACTACCAGACCTAAAGATTAAAACTCACAACTGCTGGGAAACCTGATACATTTTAATTTAATCAGTACTTTAATACACTAATGATTTCACCACTAGATAGTCAAAGAGATGATGACAGCTAATTTCTCTTGTCATTCAAGAGATTGTATGTCTATTATTAATAATACAAAAATAAAATATATTGGTTTTTCTACATTTCTCTCAAGAAGAGATTGACTTATCTCTATGAAGAAATTACAATAGGTAAACATATAACATAAATCGATGGTGCTCCTAATTTCCGCCAGATTTTGTTTGGCAATACAGCAGTTTTCGGTCAACTGTAAAAAAACAGTTACAAATCTTGGAGACCCTTTACATTAGGCGATCCACTATTAATAAAAATTTGCTTCAATCGTCAAAATGTCTTTTTTAATTTAAACTAACGTCATCTTTGCCACGTGACACTTAAATTCTATTTCATAGTCCTCGCACGTGAACCCACGCTCATTTCTAAAAAGTTTTAAATTGAACAGTTAACTAACAGAACGAAAACGTTAGTTACTTCTCGGCTTTTTACTTTCGTTCCTTAAAGGATAGTGGTCAACGGGGGTCGAAAGAATTTAGAAGATAATTTCGGTAAGTTCTTTTACAATTTTCAACACGTGAACGATTTTTAAACGACTTATTCAACATCAGTAGAAATCCCCCCCCCCCAAAGCTCAACAGACATTCCTTCTTTCTATGTAAAAAAATATTTAAAATTTTAAATGAGCGGTTGCTGTCTGAATACGGTGTTTAACACACATGTGCACGAGTTACAGCCTACAGGCAGTTCAATACTTATTTATTTAAATATTACTCTTTTTATTATTAAAAGAAAAAGAATAATTAATTATCTATCACAAACGTCCACCAAACCAAATTATTGTTTGCTTATATAAATTTTAATTGTTTATGCTGCACACATTTTTAAATATCTTTCAATAGCATGATTCAGGATTCACGTGTTTTAACACATTTAAATTCTCTAATCTAACCACCTAAAAACAATATTTAAGATTTCATTTTTTTTTAACGTTGTATAACAGTTCACATTTAAAGGCCACAGAAAAAGAAAAAAAAACATGCGCGGACGAACGTGGCAATGAGACAGTATCTGCATGAATGCAGATTGGAGATATTTTTTAAATTTAAAAACACTATTAATAAATAATTTAAATCTTAAATATTTTCAGGTGCCTATCGAAAATAATTTGTGTTAACGAAGAGATTCAAAATATCCCTATATTTAGCAGTTATTCTATTTTTGAAATCTGTGTACTTTTCTGTGGATAATACGAGTTAAAGAAAGAAAAAAATAAATGATAATCTAACTAAACCATCTTGTACATTTCTAAATGTCCCAATTCTAACAATCGATAATGATGAAGCCAGTCTCCTGAAAAATTCTTCAAAATCTAATAAACTCTTTTGCACAAATTATCATTTCTCCAGCTGCTTTTCACTGTGACGAACACAATGAGATTAAAAAAAAAGAGAAATGAAAAGTTGTATTCTGATTCATTTTTGTCATTTTTTAAAACAAATCAATGATGAGTAATATACAAGAAGTAAATAATCCTGCAGTGTTAAATACACATGCCAAATATTTACTTCCCGATCTGCGTGATCATTTTTTGTACAATAATTAAAGAAAATTAAAGATACAATAAAAAATGCAAATATTACCGTAAAATGCTATTTTATTAACTAAGACGTAGAAGCGATTAAGAATTAATTATTATTGCTTCTTTTTTTTAAATACGTTTTCAAGGGAATTTAAAGAAACTGTGAAGCAAAAAGAAAACGCTAATATATCCAATCTGGTCTGAAAACGGTCTTTCTTCCATTAATGGTCAACAACCTTTGTGTTAGAATGAAATGGAAACCAAGCGTATCTCCAAGTTGCTTGTATTGTTGACAGGTTAAACAGTAAAATGGACTTTCTAAGAAAAACTAATAAACAGACTAGAGGTAATGTAATAATTTGAAAGAGAAAATAATGATGTATGTGTTTATTTATTGAGCATACAAGCATCTAGTTAAAGAAAGTGTGTATTTTGTTTGAAGGTGTATACAATTCAACACAACAGATCTACAAGCTAGATTGATGAATACATACGCAGTTGATAGCTACACAGACAACGTGTGTAATCAGAGGTAAACAAATATACATACATGATCGAAATAGATGTCTAACAACAACAAAAAAGTATCTGTGCATATGGGAAATGAATGATTCAAGACAAAAAAAAACCCAACTAAACAAGTTTTTTTTTTTAATTAATTCTGATTGATGTGCACATATAGATTCTAATTACAAAAGAAGGTTGGACAGGAAGAGTGATTCAGACAGGTATGTAGAGGAATGTATATCTCTGGAGGTTGACAGATGTAAATTACAGATGTTGCTAGAAAATCAGTTTTATGAATCAACAGCCAATTGGAATAATACACAAGAATAGTCACAATGTACACACTAACTACACAGTTACTTATCATTGATATATCAACGACTACAAATGGTCAGACGTAGCTGTGGATATAGGTATGAATCAACGCTTAAGGTTTATGACAAAATGCAACCATACATAAAAAAAAATACAGATGAAAGTGATTAATGTTATATTTTAAAAGAGAGGGATATGCTCACGAAATAGATAATTTCCCTCGCACAGACAGCAGGCATATTGTGTAAGAAGACTAAAAAAGAAACGGATTGAATTGAAGTGTGACATTCACAGGTGTGTAGAGAGTATAGACAAATCAAGACATTGATAGAGTGGTGTAAAAATCAAATTCATACACAATTACTACGATAGATTCTGAATGAATGAACTGGGTAAAAGAGAAGAAGCTATGAGGTACAGTTTTAAAACAGATGCAAATAATATTCCAGCTGGGATGGTGGCATAACGTCTCTCGATACACTTCAATAACCACCTCATGTCGTATATGCATCAGTCATCTGTGAGTGTACGTTAAATGCCTTACCTGCAGTGCACTTTAACGTGACAACAGGTGCACTGGGACGGGGCCCGCATCGAAGGTAATCCTTGTATGCGAATTGCGGCCGACAAGTCCCCAGGCTCCGTATCTTCGACTTCATCTGTGGCCAGGTTGAGCATTATTATTTCACAAAGCCTGTCGTCGCCCCCACAACCAAAACATGGGGCAGATAATACGGGCAGGCAAAGCAGGCTACAATGAACAGGGAAGAGAGAGAGAGAGACTGATGCTGAGAAAAAGAGATGGGAAGAGAGAAAGAGGAAGGATTGCGATTTGCCTGTAGTAGTTGTAGTAGTATCTTTGTAGTAGTAGCAGCTATATGGTAATAATAATAATACTAACACAGACGAACGAACTAAGATTGGTAAAAGAAAAGGAGGAAGTTTTGGTTTGACTGAAGTCCAGTTGCTTTTTTGTAGTAATAAAGCTACCAATCAAATCAAATAAGCATGCGACTACTACTGATAAACTGAGAAATGATCGAAGGAATAAAAAAGGCTTTTCTCATCTCTTCAATTAAATAGGCTTTTAATTTTAATAGTATCAGCATAAAATTTACTTCATGTGTCCATGTATACACGTGTATAATACACATAATTTAGAAACATTGTTGAATACACACTATTATTGTTCAATGTTCATCATTACAGTGCTATGCTCATTTGCATAAAATACCGAGTAAATGTGTGTGTGCGCGCACGTCACCTAAATAGCCAAAGATTACATTTGCAAGGATGTTCTCTCTCTACAAACACATATTCATCAGACAGAAACTAGAAAAACCAAGAAAAAAAAAACAGTTTGTTCGCTTAAACAAACGAAATAAAAAAAATAAAAAAATGTAACCAGTTAAAAAATTTTAACGTTTACTCACACCAAAATAGTTAAAAAATAAAACTAATTCTGCAAATTTTTATTTTATGTTATTTTTAGTGGATACTTGTATTTGAATAGACGCCCGGTTTTTAAATTATAGTTTATTATTATTTTTATTGTATTATTAAACTAAACAGAATTTTAATTTTCTTTTACCGGATCAAATATTCAAGAAATCTTATGAGAGAAAATTAAAAATATGTGCTCTCTGGCAAGATTCGAACCTGCATTCCACTAGGAACGTTTAATGTTTAAGTAATAAAAATCTGAGATTAAATAAAAAATCCAATCTGCAAATCAAATTAGATTCTTTAATATTATTATCCTCGGTTTAAAAAAAAAAAAATATTAAATAAATTCTTAACATATCCACACTATATACTACAGAAATTATAGATCAAGTCACAAATTATAGTTGTGCATTTAGGCAGCAACCCCTCTTTAATACATGTTTATTTAAACAAGTCTGACAGTACTTTTATGTTTTTTTTTTTTTATTATATTTTTCTTGCATGTGAACAACTGTTTTCTTTTCTGGAGTCTAGACAATGATTCAAATGTTTGTTGATTCTGAGGACTTTTAGCAAATATATTATCCATTTTAAAGGATTTTAGTTACATATTTATAAGTCTACCATTCATCCTTGCTTTGAATACTACTGTTACATTCCTGCTATATAGAGATTCTTGATAAAATCTAAAGAATCTGCAATGTCTTAAACTGGCTTCAGTCACTTTCCCACTACCATAATGAAGATTCCCTGTGCCTTTTCTAGAAATACTTTCATTGTAATTGTTCTGATGGGCTTTTTACTTTGGTACCTTGACTTTATGAATTTAAGCATGGTACTAGATTAGTGGCAAGATCTCGTCAGTTTACAATTGAAGTGGCTGCTAGATGTAACCATAAGTTCTGTGCAAACAGTTTCTTCTCTCACACTTCTCGCTTGTGAAACTATCTCCCGGCTTCTTGCTTTCCAGTCAACCTTGATCTTCAAAAATTTAAATACAGTGTCAGTCATTCAGTATCTGTCTATATTTCTGAGATGAGGTATTATGTACATTATTTACATTATTCGGACTATTGTCCTCATCTTTGTCGCCATATTTATTACAATGTTTCGACCGTTGTACGCTGTGCCATGTGTCCTCAAGGACACATGGCACAGTGGATAAAGGTGTTGGTTAGATCCAGTGACAGGACCCAAAGAGTGTGAGTTCAATACCCGGTTAAGGCAGTGGAGAACTTTCAGAGGGAAATTAACAGGAGATAACTGATAACTGACATCCATTAAACATGGTACGTGGAACTAGAACAGTTTACCCCAGTGAGCAAAATAAAGGCCAGCGTGTACAACGGCCAAAATGTTGTAATAAACATAGCGACAAAGATGAGGACAATAGTCCAAATAATGTAAAAAATGTCAGTCATTATCTTTTGTCTTCTTAATTCCCATTCTTTTATTGTTCTCTCTCACCTTATTTTTTTTTCTTTCATATTCTGTAACATTTAGTAACCCCATGCATCTTAGTGGCTTCAAAATACTATTATAATAAATTGTGCATAATTACTATTGTAGACAGTCTAAAAGTTACTGACATATTCTTAATTTCCAAATATGGCCAGTACTTTGTGGTTGTGTTCATAATTGATGTTATTAAGGCTTTGGTTCTTATTTTTTCTAATCATAGATTCCATTATTCTTAAATGCTTTTTACAATTGCATACATGTATCCCATTATTATTATTCCCAACAAGTATGTTTCATATGAATTCAATGTTGTTTTAAATGTGACTATGAAACTTTGGTCAGAAAGGTGAAGGGTCAGATATTTAACCTATGGCTGAAATAGAAAAAAATGAAATCATGCCTTCCAGAGAGTATTTGTGCAAAAGTGAATACAAATGTCCTTTGGCAAGGTATGAATCTATGTCTTCTCTCTGAAACTGAACAACCTTGGATCTTCAACCCTGGTTAGCAACCAGTCTGAGAGAAGGACGACCAAATTCAAAACCAGTTGTGTATGGTGCTAGTAACCATATCCTGTGAAAACTTGCTATGGAAACCACAACAGTGATGCCTAGCACGTCAAGGCTGTAGTACTATACTCCACAGTTGGAATGTATGAGACTTAAATGAGTTATTACTATTATACATGGATTCATTCACAGTTTTTCTTTCATCGCTATTTCAGCCACTTTACAATCCAGCCTTCCTTAAGTGTCTCTCATATTCAATAACACTTTATTTCTTCTATGACAGTATACTGTTCTCATCACTGTATATCTCATATTTGTTATCCTTCCTAAGAAATTTCAGAACTTGTAACCGTCCAATCATCCTCTTCACTTACTGCCTAACACAGGATTGAACTCAGCTTTCGCTATTATCCATTAGGTTCTGTTATATTAGACAAGCAGGCATTGATGTTTTTTTTTTTTAGAACCTTAACTTGATGTCTCTATTTTCCTAATTAGTGTTCCAATACAGTACTGATATCTATGCTTGGCCTACTAATTGGATGATTTGACAATTGCATGTGTACTGCTTCATTCAATCAATTTATTCTTCAATGATTTTCTATATCTGTTACAGTTATACACAATCTTATTTGAAACCACTGGGACTAGATACTCTTCTGATTTCAGAATGGCAGCACAGATATCTTGCAGGCTGTCCTTAAAGTCTGGACACATAGGAAATCTCATTAACTATATTTTTTTAACCTCCACAGATTAAACATGGTTTTATCAAAAGAAAGAATTGACTTCTTTTTCTGTGGTATGTTAATTTTTGGGTTTTTCTTGTTTTACAGCATATCAACCTCAATGGGTTATTTAATGCCAACAACTTTCTGTTTCTGGTAATATTTTTTTTCTCAAAAATGTATAGCTGGTAAAATTATTTTCAAAAACGTATTGCTGGTAATATTTTTTTTTTCAAAAATATATTGCTGGCAATAGTTTTTTTTTTCTTCAAAAATTTATTTCTGGTAATAATTTTTTACAAAGTATTTCTAGTATTAAAACCTATTTTTACACTTTTATAATGCTTTTTACCTCAGTTAACTATTTTCCCATAGCTGGGACCCTAATGTCTGGACACATAGGCAAAAATACATATTTTTGAAAACAGGTGCTACCACCCCGGGTCAAGGTGGACCTGGGAACAACAGCAATTAAGAGGTGGTTCCATGCTCCTCAAAACCTCCTGATCAGAGGCCTTGCTGTTGGACATAGTTTATAGTCTTACCCAGGATGTGGATGTAGTGTACTCAATGAAAATCACAAATGCAACACACTTGATTGAATACATAAAAAGTGAATGTGTTAAAATTGATGGCAATGTGGAGTTATTGCATAGAGTTCACATGAATCTTGCAAAGTGCATCAACCTTTGCATCACAAATGATGGAAATCATTTTGAAGATTTTATTTAAGATTCCAATTCAATAAAAAATTTCTTGAAAATATGTATTTTTGCCTATGTGTCCAGACTTTAGTGACAAGTTGATTGTTAGGCAATGTCTCTACAGTGAAATAATTTAAATCTTCACACCATGTGGTGGAAATTCTGACTATAAACAATAATACAGTTTATCCACAAGTAATTGAAATGAAATGTGATAGAGATAGAACATCTTCTTTATGTGCTGTGTCCTCCTCAGGACATCAGCAATCATGGCTTTCCAAAATTTCCCTTCCCTTGTAGCTATTAATAAAATGTCTTTTTGATATTTTGTCCTAAACCCTGTTCCATCATCCGTTTACTCAATCTCACTAAATATGTTACACATTGTTTTCCTGTCCCTCTTGCCTTCCATCTGTCCTGTGAGTAACAGATTTTCCAAGCCCTCTTTTCTCATTATGCCCCCTAGAAATTTCAACTGTCTCTTCCTGATGATAAGTTTCCTTTCTGTTTCCATTTTCTCTAAAACTTCATCATTGCTCACATGTTCAATCTATGGTATCCTCCAAGGAGCATAAATTATGACTATAAATAATAATAGTTTATTTGTCCACTGGTAAATGAAAAGAAAGAGGAATTACTGGCACATTTTTTTTGTTCTTAACAGCAAACATTTTTTTTGCAGAAAGGTTTAGCTTACAAACTTTTCAGAATTTCGTATAAGTGATTGTGTAGCTGCATCATGTAAACCTTATTTTTAGGGACCCAGCAGATCTTGCCTTTTTATTCCTCACCACAACTGAACAAGATGTTATACTTACTCCTATTTTCATCCAGAAGAGGTTTAACTGCGGTAAAGTGTTTGCAAATAGAAAAGGATAGGTCAGATTCAAATTTCAACCAAGACTTATGTTCACTTCACACTATTGTTCTTAGAAAAGGC